TTTTTTTTTTTTTTTTTTTTTTTTTTTTTTTTTTTTTTTTTGAGAACAATTCTTTTCTTAGCAACTTCCTGTTAAGTCTTTCTAAAGCCTCCAACTTAGTTTTCATGGAAGCAGCAACTTTCTTTTCTTTTTGTACTTATATTTCATCTGTTTATGTAGTACTAAATTCATGTAATTATAGAGATAAGTAGAACTGTAAGAAAAAGGTTTGGGAGTAAACACAATTGACTCTTAGTAAGCATGTAACTCAGGAGCAAAAATGTGTTGGATCTACTAGAGAATAGCTTGCTAGCCACAGATGCTCAGTATGCAGGCAGAATTAGTATGTTTTAGAGTTAATTAAGTAGAGATTGGTGAGAGAGCAGATATTTCCATAGAAAATACATTGATTTACATTGATGTTTCTGCTAAGTCTTACCTGTGTTCAAAGCTAGGCATTCTATCATTCTGCTCCACTTCACTCTTTGAAATAACTTTTATTTTGAATCTTATTATAAATATTTTGAATCTTTTAATAAATATTTCTATCTTTCATCTTTACTCTATTCTTAGACATGGTTGTTTATAAAATATAACATCAGTTTAATAATAGCTCTTGAGGAAATAACAAATGAAGGCTATATTAAAAGTACACATCAGTTTTAAAGATACAGTTCAGTTGGGCTGGCCCGGTGGCACACTGCTACAGTGCACTGCTTGGGAGTGCGGTGGCGCTCCCGCCGAGGGTTTGGATCCCACCTACAGACCGGTTCCCGCTCACTGGCTGAGCGAGGTGCGGGCGCAACGCCGAGGGTTGCGATCCCGTTGCCGGACACGAAAAAAAAAAAAAAGATACAGTTCAGTTTTATAGAAATAAAAGTATATGCACAAGGCATGGTTACTTATATCTAGTGGTTTTTCTGTAAATGTTTGTAAAGACAGTGATTTTTTTCTTTCTTTTGGGCTTTTCTATTTTTCCACCTCTCATAGGCTCCCCACCTATGTCTCTCCCTGTCTTTGTTCTATATATCTCTACTAGTTGCGTCTCTTCTTCTATATCTGCCTCTCTGAGACTGTTTTGTTCTTTCAAATCATACAAGCTTCTCAGTATTAAAAGTTTATTGTTACTAGCAGCTGGAATGTAACTGAAACTTCTGTACATCCCTGCAAAATGCCCATGTGTTATTTTGAAATTGTCAGTGTTGGTAGGATTATCTTACATTGCAGTTAACTATATTTAACTATATTTAAGTAGTACTCCTTTAGAATTAGCAAAACATTTTTTGCTGCCTACTACCTATCTCCCAGTTTTGTTTTTCTTTTTTTTTTTGTCTTTTGTTTTTTTTCCGTGTCCGGCAACGGATCGCAACCCTCAGTGTTGCCCCCGTACCGGACCAGGGACCGGCA